AGTGTGTAATATACAGTGTTGATGAGATTAATGAGAATTTGCTATCTGTAGTGAGCATACAGTAGCAGGTGATAGACTAATCAGAATCAGAGCTGCCACTGCGTCTGATTCCAGCCTACAGCAGTTGATAAAAGTTAGGCAAGCTTGATAGCCCGAGAACAAAGTGAATGTTCCCACTGAAAAATATGGAAGATTGGCCATGAACTATATTCCTCAGCCGATGCGACCAGAGGTGTCGCAGAACACCCAAACCCAATATAGAGGTGCATTTCACATGCTGAAGTGTCCAAAATGAAATTGAATGAATTCAAAGTTGTATTAAATTTGTATATGTGTATAAAATAAAAATCCACGACTGTCTCAATTTTAATTTAATTGTTAATTTTGCCCATGTCTTAACATTATATAAAGACCCCTAAATGGTAACGTACGTTCCGATAACGTAGCGTTCCGGGTGATTTCATTTTAATTTTTTTACCGCGTTTCGATATATATTTTGTAGGGATTCAGTCATGGAAAATGATACATGAAGTAAGAATGTTTTTTATGAATTATTTTTAAACTGTAACTCAAGGGGCTTTGCGTCGTTGCTTAACTACGTTACGTATGTTCCCCTGAAAAATTGTCAGAAAGTTTCATTTTGTTTGTCAAGCACTTGGTGTAATAGAAACAGTGTTTTCTGTTGCTGACCGAAAAATATATTGCGATTCCATTTTTGTTTGACATTTCTGATATAATGTATGGATCAAGAGTGGAAAATAGTTTATTTAATGTTTATTTTACTGTGGGCAGGGTGTGTTTTTCCCTTTTTTATATTCAGTAACAAACAAACTTAAGTCGCTCGAAAAAACCAGTGATGATTGAATTTTCAAGGTGATTAAAATATTTCACAACTGGAAGTTTTGCATTTGTAGCAGTAAAGTGTGCTCCTTTTTTGGGACTAAACGACGACTTAGTGAAACTTTGATAAAAACTTCTTCACGTGAGACCCTAGAATAATCAAACATAGATTGAAATCTGCACACTAAATATTTTAAGAGCATGCCTGTGACCTCATTTTTACCTCTAGATTGGGTTTGGGTGAGAAACCACATTGTAGCCACCAAGGAACACAAGCTAAGCAGCGTCTGATTGTTATCACCTAACAATGTTTCACAATTAAACAACTTATGAAAGTACTTAAACTGTGCATCGGAGCTAGGATTAACGTCAGTTTGATGAGTTTTTATCATTACTAGAAGTACAGGTAGTTGTATTGTTGTTGTTTTAATGACTTTATATTTTTATTTCCTTTCATTCTGATGAGCCGTAGAGCGCAATTGAATTGAATTGAATTGAATTTCACGAATAACATGGACCTCATATCGAATGATCAAAAGTGCCTTCAAGTCAATTTTTGACTCTTTGGCACATTATGAAAATATACAACAACAACAACAGTGTCAAGCGCGGAGACAGCGGGTATCATTTATTAAAGACTGGACGGGTTTGAACCAGGTGCTCCGCATCGGTCATCCGGTCGCATATGGTGATGACACAGCAATAACAAACACTGGTAATAAACAGCATGACATATATGTATACATCATATATGAGTTAGCATACCTCCCCAGTGACATGCAATGGCGGGTCTAACCTACAACCTGGAAACAAAACCTGCTGACCTGTATACCAACATATCACATAAAGGGTAAACACATAGAAAACCACTTGTTCATGCATAAAACCAACTATGGCCAATAAAGTAATGTTTATACTGACAAAGGATGATGAAAACTGCTCTCTCCACGCCGTTTGCTCACTGCCATCACTAGTACTGAAACGAGGCTTACTTACTGCGAACGAAAAATGTCGGTGAAAGGGGTCAGCCAGACACTTGCCCCCGGTAATTTGACTCTGATTTTAGAGTCAGATTGACTCCATGAGAGCCAGGGGGTGTTTGACTCTGATAAGAGAGTCTAAAGACTCTGGTAGTGGGGTTATTTGACCCTTACATATAGGGAGTCAAATTAACTCCATGGAGGTCAAGGGGTGCTGGACTCTGACTAGAATTTTATTCTTATTTATGACTCCAATTTTATTCTCAGTGAACGTTACTTGTGACAGTGAACGTTATTCGTTTTTTATACCGCTGCAAAATCTCATATGGAATTTGTTTCAGTGTGCTACAATCCTGGTTCAGATCTCTCACCATGGCTCCACTCTCGGTATTCACCCCTCAGGCCGCAGACCTGAAATCAATGGTGCTACATTGGGACATATTTTATATTCAAAGAATGTAGCTATTCATCAAAGGACTGTCCGCAGTTGATGTACGTTATTGTGTACTTTACACAGATCGGATAAAAGGGGTGACTAACACTGAGAGGCGTACATATTGCAAAGTGTGAGTTTTCAGTAGAAAAGTAGTTTACTAGTACGATATTAGCGCCGAGATCGAGGAAGCAATACCATGAAGGACGCTAAGGCAGTTGCTTTGCTGCTCATGGCAGTGATAGTATTTGGAGCCATTGCCGAAAATGAAGCGCTTTGTAAGTGACTGCGTTCTAATTGCAAATTAACTCCTCTCTTACGATGCTTAATTGTCATTATCATTATTGCCGATAGTGGTGCGTTGCGTTGCTTTTTCGATTGCAAACAAAGGTCTTTTTATTATTATTATTGTTGTTGTTATTGTTGTTATTGATGGTTGTGGTGGTGTTCTTGCTGGTGCTGTAATTGTTAATGTTGTTACCTTTTTTATTTTGTGCATTTACAGTTTTTGGCAAGAGAGCAGACATAGAAAGAAAAAACATTTTAAACAGTAAAATGGTAAGTTGTATTATTTAGAAAAGATGCAGCGTCTATAAGGGATGTTGAATAATCTGAATGTGCAGTTATATGGATTTTGCAATTAAATCAAATCATCCTAATATCAAAATGAAAATGTTGTTATGTGAATATATTTTAAATGATGTACCTTAGCGATTATCGGTAAATTGTTGATAAAGTTTTGGGTATGTGCATAGACAGATACACAGATCAAATTCAAGACTCAATCACAGCGACATGGTCAATACAGCAGTGTGTATTTCCTTGCAGGTGAAAAAGCGGGACTTACAGCAGCGCTTCCGAAAAAACGATGCCGCCATCAAAACCGCCTGGGAAATGATTTGGAGAGGAGAAAAATGAGATCTTACGATACGAAACCGTAACCTTCAACGTTTTCTCAACGGATTTCTACCCATTATTTGAGACATGTAAATGTTTTTAAAATGACATTAATCTTTCTATTGGATAATAACTTTGCACGGCAATACGTGGATATGCGATTTTCATTTACAACAATAATAACAATAAACAATGATAGCAGTCCTTCTCATCGAGATTTACACGTGAACTCATGATTTCTTTCATTTTGTTTGGATATTTGACCTTCGACAATAACGCACTGGCTTATTTTTGTTATTTACATACATGTACCAAGCAGAAAAATAACTTTCAGCAAGTTGTAGCTCATTTTATTTTCCCCAGTGTCTTGTTGTTTGCTTTCCAATAATAATGAGAATATTACTCCCATTGATTCAAAAGATTTCGCATTTGCAAATTTAAGAAATTGGGTTAATTGTATTATTCCTGGCTTTATACGGTCAATGTACGCAGATTATACTGAGTCTCCAGTTAACGTAATAAAGGGAAGTTTGGCGTAGACAAACGATGTTTTATTGATTTCATGGGCCGTTGCGAACTTTCATTAGCGGGGGGAAACGGCATCTGGTATTACCAGGTTAGGAGCGTAAACAAGGTATTGACATCTGGAATTCACTGTATTAAGGTAGTAATTAACAGTAAATTGTCAAAATTTGGGTGTTTTTCTGAATTTGTCAGTATTAGATAGATGAAACATCAACTACATATCAGCCTATCTTAAAATAATGGAAGTTTACAAATAAACCCGTAATTTTAGCCTAATTGCTGATTTACCCCTGTGGTAGCGTGTCTGAGTTTTGAAGTAGGTCACACTTGTCCATATATGTGTTTGATTGGCAGCTCAACTGTGCAGCTGTATATTTCCCGTACTAGATTGCTGCTAAGCCTTTCACATTCTGTGAGTAACGTCCCGCTTTCACTTGCCAAACAATACTTTTCATTTTGAATTTATCAGTGAACTTAATCCTGACGATCTATTAAAGCTTTAAAAAGCAGACATATAGATAAGACGTATATGGGCAAAGGCACTCCCCCTAGGTGTCACGTGGTGAAGAAGGCTGACGTCACGACTAACATGGTGGCTGCTGTCAATGCATGGAGGGGGCCTCTGGTTGAAAATGTTCAATAATAATGTTGAAAATGGATGAAAGACATAGTGACAGTTACATAGGCAGTGAGTGGAGGGCTGAACCAGTATAAATAACTAAATTTCTCAGCTTGCCAATGCAGCTCACTGATTATATAACGTTGGAATCTCCGGGGAGCACTAAAAGGCTGATTTCTCCGCTTCAGTTTATGGCTTCAAGAGAACGATTTAGACCAGTGTCAAAATTAATTAGAACTCTCAACCGATGAAAGCTGGCATTCATTCATTAGATCTAAGGTTTGCCTGAAATCATGTGTCTGGGATTTCATAACATCAGCTCTGTTTTCAACTTACGCGTGCTTTACCTAGGCTAGGGGGTCTCGTTGAACTGGAAACCAGGTTTATTTTGACATCTCTGCTAATTTAACAGATATCGCTAATTTGAGGCGCATTCTTGTTGATCCCAGTGAGGGCTCACGAGTCAACCTGTCTACACATGTCCATTTGTAGTGGACTTCTAGTTTTTAAGGTGTAAAGATCATGTTGAGCACACCTATTAAACATTATATCTCATTACGTAACGATTACATAATAAAATAAGGATATGAAATGAAGAGCTGTTGAAATAAGCTTTCTATTGATATGTAACATGTTGGTATATCTTGGGCGGTTTAGAAGATAGCTACCCCTGTTAATTACATCCTTAAGCTCCTTGAAATTTATCTGTCCATCGGGGAGACCCGGCAGCTTTGAAGCGTCACTTTTGCTGAAATTTGCAGCACTAAATCCGGGACTCTCTTTCAGGCACGCACTGCCGCATTTATTCAGTAAACACTGGTACTAGGCCTCACTTTGCTATAAGTTCTTTGCGGAAAGCATAGCATTCAAGATTGATTATACAAGTTGCTCCTCGCTGGAAATTTTTTCGTTTGGTCTGTGACTGTTTACTGCTTTACTTATTACGAATTCGTTTGTGCGACTCTGGGATCTAACCCTAGCTTGAATAGACTTTATTGAGAAACGGAACATTCACCATTGCAATTTATCGGTTTTGTTTGAGGGACTCACGGATCCAACCTAGAAGGAGACTCGTACGTGAAGCGGATCTTTCATTTTACAGGTAAGATTTTCTTTTCATTACATTTAAGTTATCCTTGATCAGTTGGCCATGGCGGTCCTTATAATCGGCCACTCCTTCGTATATAGGCTACGTTCGTATCTTGACCAAGGTCGGGACGGGCGTACGGAGAAAGATTTTGGATTTCCCAATGTTGTACACTGGCACGGTGTGGGAGGCCGTACGGTCCCGAAACTAGTCAGGTATGACTTGGGTGTCCTTCGCCGGGTCCGCCCCGCCTTGGTTATATTGGTAATTGGGTCGAATGACCTATCTGACTTGAACATTTCTCTGTTTGATATAGGTAAGAGCATTGAAAGCCTCGCTCGGAGCTCTCACGAGGAGTTCGGCATTTCTCACATAGTGGTGAATCAGATTCATCACCGGCTCTGTCTCCCCTATTCGGACTTCAACGATCAAGTTGATCAGCTTAATATTTTTCTTTCAGACATTGCCCAGAGACATTCGTTTATTTCTTTTTGGAGGAATGTCGGTCTAAGCAATCCGTCCTGGCTACACATAAAACCGGACGGGGTCCATCTGTCTGAGGTTGTGCAGTACAAACTTTACCGCAGTTTGCGAGGCGCTATTATCAGGAAGGCATCTCGGCTTAGAATTACTCTGTGTTAATTATCTTTCAGATGCAAGCCGTTCATATTCATTTTTGCCGGGACCAATAGTTTTGTTTTCGTTTCAGTTATTGTATTTTCCTTCCCCGGCACTGGGGTGATGTCCATGCCTTTATATCACGCTTTTAGCCTACAATTTTCATGACTCCAAATTTTTCTAATTAAGGAAGGTAGAATGGAGAGCTCTACTCCTCGCTGAAGGCCCGTCAATGCAAGGAAAAGAGCATACCTCCCCCTCCCATAAAATTAGGGAGTTAGGTGTGAGATAATACACTGTCACCCGAGCGATATATGCCATAACACCTCGAGCGTCAGCGAGAGGTGTTCATGGCATATATCGCGAGAGGGTGACAGTGTATTATTTGACATACATACCGAGAAAAAATACAGTCATTTCATCCTAAAACACCCCTAAAACCGAATAAAGTGACCCTATATCACGCTGTAGAGATGTTATACGGAATAAACTCGTCCACGTGCGCTGGTCACCTCCAGCATAATTCTTACGTAATGTCTGACCAATTTGGTCAATTTTTGTTAAATACTTGTCGTGGACGTTCATTTGCTTGAAAAGTATTTAATCAACCGTCGACACTGACCATGCGCGTCTCAGCTGAGCCACACCTAGCTGGGACTGCTGCGGAAAAAAGGCCCCAAGGCAAAACCTCTACTTTTTAGTGACATTTCTAATAAAAAAGGAGCGTCGGACCGGAATATAGTCAAACTAATTTTTCACAAGTGCAAAGGAGAATGAAATTTACTTTTTGGTGATATTTCTGACAACGAGGCAGTTTCGGAATATAGTCAAAATCGACGGATGTTTATAACAAGTTCACGGGAGTAATAATTCTAGTATTTTATTGTTATTTCTGACGACGAGGCGGTTACGGAATATAGTCAAAATCAAACGGATGTTTATTTCAAGTCCACAGGAGTAATAATTCTACGTTTTGGTGACATTTTTTACTGCGAGGCGGTTTCGGAATATACATGTGCTGGTTTTCAGAGCATTCATGTGCTATATGTAATTACAAGTTCGAAGGGGGAACACATTTGATTTTTACCAATATATCTGATAAAGAGGAAGAATGAACAGCTTAAAAACAAAAGGTAAATAATAACACAACCCTCGTTAAAAAATTATAGATTTACAAATAATTTGTATACACGTGTGGCTTCAATGTTAACTAATTCCCGTTTTCGAACCATACCCATATGACATGACTTAATGTAATAAAATGATAATTAATAATTGTTAAACGTGAAAAGTTTATGCTAATTTTTTAAGGGTGTGAGAGATTTTAAATTTGTCTATTGGTAGGTATATAACGTAAGCAACGTCACTATTCTCTTGATGCCAAGAAGGTCACACGATCACTGTCTTTGGCTTTCAGCATTTAAGAGACCTCGACTGATTTAACCAAGATGTAGTCGTGAAATTCTAGACTACATCGAGGTTAAATCCGTGTTCTCCGAGAGACGCTACGCAGAAATGTCGAGTGAAGCGAGACATTTTTGGTAGCGTCTCGAGGTTGCCCTCGATCTTCACTGAAGCTTGGCTAAATGGACAGGCTTCAGTGATCATCATATCGCCACGGTCATATAACATCCCTAGGTATGTATGGTTGGGTAACATGCCACAGCTTATCTGCCATCCACCTTTTGCTTTTCTAACTAAATTCTGAATAATCTAAAATAATTCACTGGCTAAATCCGGCACATTTATTTGTTTCACGTTGTCAGCCTACTAGCATCCTTATCCCAATTTCGGTAAGATAATTATTTAGGCTCATGTTGTTATTTTATATTTGGTTCACATTCAACTTTCAACTTCTTTTTGGCTGTATAATTTTGGCACATAACTCATTTGGCTTTTGTTTGTATATATATATACATGTATAATAACATAAATATATTTTGGCTTGCATTATTTCGGCTTATGCTATTTTGGTTTTTATTTTCCACTCTTTTTTCTGGTTGCAATTTTTGGCCTCTTTTAACTAATTAACATTATCTAATGCTATATAATATCTAACACCATTCTTTAATAGAGGGACCTTTCAATAAAAGCGGCCGCTACCGGCCAAATTTCGAACACTATATATCTGTGTTTGTCATTTACTTATCCTTTGGCTTGGGTTAATATTTAAGTTTAGTTTAGTTTAGTTTATTTCACTGTAACATATGCATCCACTTGTGTGGATGAAAATGACAATATGAATACAATTTTTGTGATTATGCTATTAATAAGGAGACATAAATGCAGGTGTCATGTACACCTTCTTCTACACCCAGACATGCGTTGGTCTTATCATGGACTATTCAGCTTTTTTAAATATTAAACTGATGGTAGCGTCAGTAGGTTTCGTGTCGTCAGTTAAGTGAAAGAACGTTATTTGTGACCAAATGTTACAGCCAGTCAAATCTGCCCTATTCTACTCGTTTTTTATACTCCGCGACCACCGCCGCAAAATCTCATATGCAATTTGTTTCAGTGTGTTACAGTCCTGGTTCAGATCTCTCACCATGGCTCCACTCTAGTCATTCACCCTTCAGGTTACAGGCCTGAAATTAATGGTGCTACACTGTGACATGTTTCATGTCCAAAGAATGTAGCTATTCATCAAAATGCACTGCACGCAGTTGATGTACGTTATTGTGCACTTTACACAGATCGGATAAAGGGGTGACTGAAAGGCGTACATACATTGGTCAAAAAGGTTGTCCCCCCCATTTCCATGTACTTTTATTTACAAATGATCACCTCACAGCTGTAAATTGTTAGAAATAGTGCTTTTTATTACAGATACCGTGTCTAACATGATTATTGGTTAAAAATACAAAATAGTGGTGAAAAAATACATATTTTATACCATTTAGTAAAATTTATAAGAGGTACCTCCTCAAATCCATTGTTTCACTGTGACTTCTACAGCTGTAAACAAATGTCTATTAAATTAAAAAGATGTCATCAAATATCACCAAATTCACACACAATTAGCATTAGGGTGTGCTCGTTAAAGGTCACGTGCCTAACAGCGTGTGCGTCTACCGCGTACTGCAATAATCTCCTGTAGACGGCGCGACAAGTCTTCAACGTGGGTAACATTCTGTTATGTGGGATATTGTCCCATTCATCCAAAAGAGCGTGGCGAAATTGGTCAAGATTATTTGGGAATTGGTTTTCCTCTGCAATGCACATTCCAATTAATGCCACAGGTGCTCAGTAGGATTAATATCAGGGCTCAAAGACGGTTGTCCCATCCTCAGAGCCCTGTAATTCTGCTACAAATCGCTTGCCAGACGAGAGCTGTGAGCAAGTGCGTTGTCACAATGAAGCCAGTTGCATCCCTGAAGTCACCTCTTGCAAATGGAGTGAGATTTCTGTTGAGAATGTTACATTAAAATGCCCCTGTTACGTTTTGTTCCAAAAGGAACAATGTACTAATACCATGGGCTTGGAATGTTCTCCAAATGCGGACTGATCTTACACCTCAGGCAATATTATCCTACACACATTTTTCCAAGAGGCATTTTTTTAACATGTCTATCGACCCTCATTTGACCATCGATAGGATACAAGAAATAATTTGATTCTGCATCAAAACCAACTTCCTTCCAGTGATGGATGACCATATTTAGGTACCTGTAGGATCACTGAACGTAGCATTCTCAGCTGATATCTCACTCTGTCTTCAAGAACTGACTTCGGGGTTCACTCCAGGGTTCATCATGACTGCACACTTGCTCACATATTTTCACCGCTATTTTGTATTTTTTTTAACCATTAATCATGTAAGACATAGTATCTGTAATGGAAAGCACTATTTCTAACAATTAACAGCTGGAAGGTGATCATTTGTAAATAAAAGTACATGGAAATGGGGGTGGGACAACCTTTTTGACCAATGTTGTATTGCAAAGTGTGGGTTTTGAGTTGAAAAGTAATATACTAGTACGATGTTAGCGCCGAGATCGAGGAAGCAGTACCATGAAGTACGCTAAGGCAGTTGCTTTTCTGCTCATGGCAGTGATAGTATTTGGAGCCATTGCCGAAAATGAAGCGTTTTGTAATAATCAAAAATTGCCGCCTTGGCGGAGGTCTGCGCCCTCAGAGTGCTTTTCTAGTTATTATTATTATTATCGTTGTTATTATCGTTGTTATTGGTGGTGGTGGTGGTGGTTTTCTTGCTGGTGCTGTAATTGTTACTGTTGTTACCTTTTTTATTTTTTGTATTTACAGTATTTGGCAAGAGAGTAGACATAGAAAGAAAATACATTTCAAACAGTAAAATGGTAAGTTGTATTATTTAGAAAAGATGCAACGTTTATAAGGGATGTTGAATAATCTAAATGTAGAGTTATATGGATTTTGCAATTGAATCAAATCACCTTATATCAAAATGAAAATGTTATGAGAAAGGTTTTTAAATGATGAACCTTAGCGATTATCGGTAAAGTGTTGATATTGTTATCGATATGTGCATAGACAGATACACAGATGAGATTCAAGACTCAATCACAGCGACATCGTACTTACAGCAGTGTACATTTCCTTACAGGTGAAAAAGCGGGACTTATAGCATCGCTTCCGAAAAAACAATGCCACCATCAAAACCGCCTGGGAAATGATTTGGAGAGGAGAAAAATGAGATCTTACGACACGAAACCGTAACCTTCAACGTTTTCTCAACGGAATTCTACCCATTATTTGAGATTTATAAAAATGACTTAAAAATGACACTAATCTTTCTATTGGATAATAACTTTGCACGGCAGTACGTGGATATGCGATTTTCATTTACAACAATAGTAACAAAAAATAATGATACATGTAGTAGTCCCTCTCATCGAGATTTACACGTGAACTCATGATGCCTTTGATTTCGTTTGGATATTTGACCTACGACAATAACGCACTGGCTTACTTTTGTTATTTACATACCAAGCAGAAAACTATCAGCAAGTTGTAGCTCATTTTTTTTTCCCCAGTGCCTTATTTATTGCTTTCCAATCATTTATGGGAATATTACTCCCATTAACTCAAAACATTTCACATTTGCAAATTTAAGAAATTGGGTTAATTGTAATATTCCTGGCTTTATACGGTCAATGTACGCAGATTATACTGAGTCTCCAGTTAACGTAATAAAGGCAAGGGTCACGTTAGTATGTACACCTTTTTCACCCAGTCTTGCGTTGGTCTTATCATGGACAATTCAGTTTTTTTAATAACTGAGATGGTAGCGTCAGTAGGTTTCGTGTCGTCAGTTAAGTGAAAGAAAGCTGTTTGTGACAAAATGTTACAGCCAGTCAAATATGCCCTATTCTACTCGTTTTTTATACCCCGCGGCCGTCGCCGCAAAATCTTACATGGAATTTGTTTCAGTGTGTTACAATCCTGGTTGAGATCTCTCACCGTGGCTCCCCTCTCGTCATTCACCTCTCAGGTTACAGGCCTAAAATTAATGGTGCTACATTGTGACATGTTTTATATCCAAAGAATGTAGATATTCAGCAAAATGCACTGCACGCAGTTGATGCACGTTATTTCATGTATGAACTTAACACAGCTCGAATAAAAGCTGTGACTAAGCCTGAGAGGCGTACATATTGCAAAGTGTGGGTTTTCAGTTGAAAAGAAGTTTACTAGTACGATATTAGCGCCGAAATCTAGGAAGCATTACCATGAAGGACGCTAAGGCAGTTGCTTTGCTGCTCATGGCAGTGATAGTATTTGGAGCCATTGCCGAAAATGAAGCGCTTTGTAAGTGGCTGCGTTCTAATTGCAAATTAACGCCTCTCTTACGATGCTTAATTTTCATTATTATTATTGCCGATAGTGATGCGTTGCGTAAGTAGTTGCTTTTTCGATTGCAAACTAAGGTATTTTTGTTATTATTATGTACAGACACAGATGTGTCTGTACATATAGCCATCATCTGCGTCTGTCGTCGCCGTCGCCGTCGCCGTCGTCGCCGTGCACTTTTACCGATAACACGATAAGTGGAAAACTGTTTTTTCTTTTGGCTTGAAACTAACAGAACTGATGAATATTCGTAATACGCAGGTCAAGTTCGAAAATCAGCATGATCGGGTCACTTATAGGGAATTTATTCTGTTTTTTCACTTTTTTCAGCATATATGCAACACTGATAACATGATAAGTGGAAAATCATTTTACCTTTTGGCTTAAAACTTACAGAACTGATGAATATTCATAATACGCAGGTCAAGTTCGAAAATCAGCATGATCGGGTCACTTATAGGGAATTTATTCTGTTTTTTCAGCATATATGCAGCACCGATAACAGGATAAGTGGGAAACCATTTTACCTTTTGGCTTAAAACTTACAGAACTGATGAATATTTATAATACGCAGGTCAAGTTCGAAAATCAGGGTGATTGGGTCATTTTTAGTGAATTTAGGCTATTTTTTCTCTTTTTTCAGCATATATGCAGCACCGGTAACACCATAAATGGAAAACCATTTTACCTTTTGGCTTGAAACTTACAAAACTGATGAATATTCAAAATACGCAGGTCAAGTTTGAAAATCAGCATGATCGGGCCATTTTTAGGGATGTTATGCTGTTTTTTCACTTCTTTCAACATATATGCAACGCTAATAACACAATATAAGAAAAACAGATAGGCCAATTGTCATTATACTCACAGGAGTAGTCAAACTAACTAAAACGCAGGTTGAGTTCCAAAATCAGCATAATCGGGCCATTCTTTTAGAAGTTATGCTGTTTTGTCACATTTCCTCGGATTCAATTGTTAGGCATATTAACAGTCTCATTATTGAACTAATAAGATACGTAAAAGTGTTTGTTTGACATTTCCTGCATCTTAATAACATTGTTAGTTGATTATGTAAAAATGATGGTAAACTTGTTATTGTGTATTATGTTATAAAGTGTCAAAAATGGAAATAAACAAATATCATTGCAGTTTGTCAGATTCAATCATCTACTATATTCATTATCTCAGAATGGAGGAAATTGGACATTTAACACTGTTCTATTGATATTTTTCCCATCTCATCAATTTTCTTAGTTGATCATATACAAATGG